CCTCTCTGCATTGAATCATATCTGTTATTAATCTCTGTCTCTCTTCCACAGCATGTCTTTTATCCTGTCTTCCTTCTCTCACCCCAACCAATCACAGCAGATGGCCCCGCCCCTTCCTGAGCCTGGTTCTGCCGGAGGTTTCTTCCTGTTAAAAGGGAGTTTTTCCTTCCCACTGTCGCCAAAGTGCTTGCTCATAGGGGGTCATATGATTGTTGGGTTTTTCTCTGTATCTATGAAGCGCCTTGAGGCAACTTTTGTTGTGATTTGGCGCTATATAAATAAAATTGAATTGAATTGAATTGAATTGAATTGAATTGAGCACTGCAGAAATGACTACAAATAATTGTTATTGTCACTTTCTTGTGATCATGCAGATTTTTAAGTCATTTAATTGGGGTTTTACACGTTTTCATCTGTTATTTAACTCCTTTACAAATATTTACTTGCTTTATTTATTTATTCTGTATTGGAACTGCTGACTTATTTTGGCGATTTGAATCCCTGTTGCTAATGTTCCTGTTGATTTTCAACATTTATGTCTCTTATGAGTCTTATTTTGGTTGTTTGGTTGCTCATATTTGCTTGAATCCCCGAACCTGTGATTCAGTACTCCAGTTCGTAATCATCCGACACATCGGTATTCACTCAAACAATGCATGCGTTCTGTGCCTCACCGACACGTCACGCGCACATACTGCTGATGAGTTCGAACAATCACGAGTGAACACGACATTATTGACCTTCCATATTGTCCTGCTGGCGCTCGCACACAGTTTTTCTCCTGTTTATCCAGACAGACGATATTGATCGGGGCTGAGGGGGGAATTCTCTGAAATGAAGCTCTCTGAGTGAACTTTAGCAAACTGCAGGTCCCAAGCTGACATATTCATTTATCACTGACATCCTGGCTGTCAATCAGAGCGTCCTAATGAGCTCACAGTACAGCGAGGTGCGCATCCTATTAGGTGATTGTTTGAGCGTGTGATTGGAGAAATTGTTAGCTTGAACTGTACTCCAAAGCTACATTATTATACGTTGTCGCTTTTCCTTCATCATATTGGCTTCGTGAAGCCAGGGAGATGAAAACAACAAAGAAAATATCAAAATTTAGTCCTGATATTGTTCCAAGTATCCCCCACATTGTGTCATAAATGGTATTTTGCCTTATTTTAATGGCACTGATGATTAAGTATGTAAATGAGTGAAGGTAATTTTGAAGTGTCATTGTTTTTGTCTCATTAAGGGATAAACTCCCACACTGCTCTCTGATTAAAGCACCACTCAGCGCGTTTGTGTTGAAATTGCACTCTTGCTGCAAGTTTTCATCTCTCTAACGTAAAACAGGGCAATGCCGATGATTCATTAATGGCAGGAGGCGCTAAATAGTTTAAAAGCCACTTAAAGCCACTTAAAAAAATAATCGAGGTCACATAGTTTACCCTTTGGCACAGAAATTAATAAAGTCATTTTAAATGGTTATGGTTATGAAAATAACCATAACTGTTGTGTGTTTGCTACGACAGTTCATATTTTCAGCTGGATATTGTGGTCAGGGTCAACATGTACCTTCCCTTTTTTTTTTTACAGGCAGATTTTAAAGGTGCATTAAGGCACATTTTTATATTAAAGGTTAATTTAACACAAAAGACGTCAACAGTAATGATCATCTGTTTGTTAGACTTTTTTAGTGCTTGTTTTGGTTCTCTGACCCACAAATTCAGCTGCCGTCATAACAGCGTATGTGTACCTCATATAAACCCCACAGTGAATGACAGAAAGCAGATCGCTGCCACAGTGACGTGTTTAATAGCGGAGCAACTCCACAGCGCAAAACATTCGATTTTTACAAACAACATCCATCCATTCGCTTCCGCTTCTCCTTTTCAGGGTCGCGGGGGGCGCTGGAGCCTATCCCAGCTGTCATAGGGCGAGAGGCGGGGTACACCCTGGACAGGTCGCCAGTCTGTCGCAGGG